GTAAATTAGGAATAATAGAACCACTGAATATTATAGTTCTACTAAATAAATGAATCTGTATAAGAGATAAGGTGTTTTCGACTTAGTTAGATTTGATTAATTTAAGATTTTTTGTGAATTCTGTGTGCCTCATGATTATACCATATATAATCACCTTAAATTTATTATACAATCAATTCACTTTTAGTTTATTAGAACCCAACTTTTGGTAGCTTGCATTTAGAGAACAAATAAGAAAATTAAAAATTGTATTTATAGAAACTAAATATATACTTGAATCAGAATTTAATATTGCATTTAAAAAGAATTGGTTGTATCTATTAATGATTCTGGGCTTATTATATTTATAATTTGTGAACAAAAACTTTAATTTACAATTGGCAGATTCAAAACATATCACAAAATCAAACAAATTTAATAAGAATTTTCTACTACATATTAAAGTATTTTATACCTATCTAAAATTAAACAGTTGGCAATGAAGGTTTATTTAATATAGTGGATAAAGCAATCTTATACAAAGCATTTCTAGTCATCTTTAATCCAATAAGACATCATAGCATGGCATGGAATTTTAAATACAAGATAACATGATATTGCATATAAATATATACAGGACAATGCACTGAATAGCACGTCTAAAGCATATAAAATGGTGCAGATTCCATGCATATTTTTATATGTTTTTACATATTTTTTACATGTTGTCACATATACTTTTACATGTATTAACGTATTTTTTTAAAATTTTTTATATGCCTTCCATATACTTTTCCTTACAATTATGTATGACTACATGTTTGATTTTTTTTTTTTTTTCAAGAAATAAATTTCTGTGCAGGGATTGAATTACATGCCTCTTTTGTGCCAAATTTCGTATTAGTATGTGTATTTCTATATACTGTAACTATTAATGGGAGAGCTTAATAAGATTATATGGATAAAGCCATTTTAACTCCAATAGTGTACAGAAAGATAAAGCTAAACTTGAGAAGCGAAGAGGGTCTTTTATATTTGTTAAAAAACTAAATGGGCAATAGGATGCTATAACAAATACTTTAGTATTGATAGGTGAAGCAACTACAAGTGATGCTGTTAAGGTTAATAATAAAGTGGGTAATATAATAATGATTAAGTAATACTTTAAGTTCACATGATAGATTAAAACCAATCGTATGGGTTGTTCTCTATTACTATTTTACAAATCACTAATATAAATAGCAATATCTGATTCCAAAATATTCTAGAATCTGAATTTACAAGTCAATTCAATTTATTAAATTGAGTCTTGAAAGAGTTATTAAAGTTACAAGTCAAATTTTTCACAAGAGAAAATTCAGTAAGTACACTTGACCCATTAATATCAACCTCGTTAATATCAACCTCCCATTAATATCAACCTTTATTAAGACAAAATAGACTCAGTTTATATAAAAACTATCCTGATATTATCAACCCTCACATATATCAACATAATTGCCCAATCCAAATAGGTTGATATTAACAGGATTCAAGTATATATATATTTTATTATTTATTAGTAATTAAGAGCAGACAAGAACTTGTGTTGTTTCTTTATTAAATTCAAAGTTCTTATATATATATATTTATCTTATAGAGTGTTTTCGCTTCAATATGAATGAATTCACTCTAATTTGAATATATTCATGATTTCTTGGGTATATACACCTAGATCTGAATATATATGCTCAAAACGCAGAGATCAAAAGATTGGTGTAGTTACATATTTATAATAATTTGAGTGTATACGTAATTTCACATGTGCCTAAACATTCCTTAAACAATTCAAGCATGTTAGCAATCAGCAAATCAATTGGCATGTGCATCATGTCCTCTGATTTGCTGATCACATTACAATACCACAGAATTGCATTGCCTAAGACATAACTTATATACAAGGCCAATTCAGATTCGCAGTCTTCTTCATCCAAGTATACATAATTTTTTAGGAACTTATTCACATTGACGGCCATAGGCAACTTATAGGCAAGTAGTTTTTTAAAAAGTGCTTACAGACTATTCATCTTCAGTAAAATATTAAAAGGTTTTAAAAAATCTTCGCACTTCTGGCAACCTTTTTGACCAAAATACTTGTAGTGCCTGTGTCCTTATTCTTTCGTTTCCTCTTCCCTAAGGTGTTAGTTACCTTCGGTGCCAGCCCATAACCGATTGGCTTTTCTTACATATGCCTTCATAAAAGAAAAATTATATGAGTAAAAATTTACAGAAAGAACAGTAAGGCAAATAATTAAAATAACAAGATGTAAAAAACCTAAATTTCTTTATTAACAAAAAAACCAATACAGAGAAATCTCTTTAAATGTACCCTCTCTAAATGCTAAAGTACCAGACAGCAAAAAACATTCAATATGTTTTTAAAAATGTCAAATTTGAAGATTATATAATCATTATAATTGGTCAATTCTTATATAATTAATTTTGATTTGTTAATAAAACACAAATAATTTTTTTGTATACTAAACGCCAATGTATGTTGTTAGAAGCTTTGTCCTATGGGGTGCATTTAACGAAATTTCTCTGTATTACTAAATCTCATGAGCATTTGTGAAGTATAAATTTTCACCCCTACACAAGTACCTAGCTGATGCTACCATCTCAGCACATAAACATGTCATTTGTATACTTACAGCTCGGGATTTTAACAACGTTGCGTACGAATCCATACGATAAGCATCGCCACGAATTCTTAATGCAAATGTATTATTGGTTCAATTTCTAATGATTTATTCAAATCTGTAAGTGATCTTCATATCCTTTCATTAAGTGATAAATGTCACCACGAGTTCTTGATGCTTCTGATTATTTGGGCAATTCCTAATGATTTATTTAAATCTGCAGGTGATTCTTCATATCTATTCATCACGCGTTAAGTATCTCCAAGAATTCCTAATGCAAATGCATTATTTGATTCAAATTCTAATGATTTATTTAAATCTGCATGTGGTTCTTCATATCTATTCGTTATTCGATAAGCATATCCACGAATTTTTTAATGCAAATGCATTGTTTTGTTCAATTTCTTCTTAGAGCAGATGCATTTTCTGTTTCGATTTCTAGTGATTCATTTAAATCTGCAAGCGATTCTCATCGTACGATAAGTGCTGTCACGAATTCTTAATGCTTCTGCATTATTTGGTTCAATTTCTAATGATTTATTTAAATATGCAAGTGAGGTTTCATAGCTTTTCATCGTATGGTGAGTATCTTTAGTGCAAATGCATTAATTGGTTCGATTTCTGCAAGTGATTCATCTCTTTTCATCATACGATAAGTATCTCCACGAATTCATATGATAAGCATTGCCACGAATTCTCAATACAAATGCGTTATGTGGTTAAATTTCTAACGATTTATTCAATCTGTAAGTGATCTTCCATATCCTTTCATTATGCGATAACGATAAATGCCGCCATGAATTCTTGATGCTTCTGATTTTTTTTTTGCTCAATTTCTAATGGTTTATTTAAATCTGAAGGTGATACTTCATATCTATTTATCATGCGATAAGTATCTCAAGAATCCCTACTCATCATATGATAAGCTCGCACGAGTTCTTAATACAAGTGCCTTATTTTGTTCAATCTCTAATGATTTATTCAAATCTGTGATTTGTTATATCTTCTAATTATGCGATAAATGTCATCTGAATTCTTAATGCAAATGTATTATTTGCTTCGATTTCTAATGATTTACTTAAATTTGCAAGTGATTCTTCATATATATTAATCATACGGTAGCATCGCCATGAATTCTTTAATGTAAATGCATTAGTTGGTCAAATTTCCAATGACTTATTCAAATCTACAAGTGATTTTTCATATCTATTCATCAAGTGGTAAGTTTTTCCACGACTTCTTAATGCAAATGCATTGCTTGTTTCAATTTCTAATGAATACATAAATCTGCATGTGATTCTTCATATCTGTGATTTCTTAGTGTTTCTGCGTTATTTGGTTCAATTTCTAATGATTGATTCAAATCTGCGATTATTTTTCATCTTTATTCATCATACAATAAGTATCCCTACGGATTCTTAATGCTTCTACATTATTTGGTTCAATTTCTAATAATTTTTTCAAATCTGCGAGTGTTTCTTCATATCCTTCATCATATGATAAATATCCACGAATTTTTAATGCAATGCATCATTTGGTTCAACTTCTAATGATTCATTTAAATCTGCAAGCGATTCTCTATGTCTAATTATCGTCCGATAGGCATCCCCACGCCATGCAAATGCCTTATTTGGTTCAATTTCTAATGATTTATTTAAATCGGCAAGTGATTCTTCATATTTATTCACCAAGCGGTAAGTTTCTTTACGACTCCTTAATGCAGATACATCGTTTGGTTCAATTTCTAATGATTTACTTAAATCTGTAAGTGATCCTTCATATCATCATGCGATAGATTTCTCCCCGACTTCTTAATGCAATGTATTTTGTGCTTCACTTCTAATGATTCACTTAAATCTGCAAGTGATCTTTATATCTATTCACCATACGATAAGCACCACCGTAAGTTCTAACGTAAAAGCATTAGTAAATGCATCAATATTCTCGCTCGGGTCTTTTATTTCAGTAATTATCCTCCAAGTATCGCTTGTCTGTCTTTCTTGTAGAAAGATCCATCTGGGGTTCATCGTTTGCGAGGTTTAAGGATCTTAATCCCGTTGCTTGGTTTACAGAGAGTAGCTTCAGTCTTTGGATAAGATCTGCTTTTCACCTTCGTTTGATAGCTCGAGATTTCTGCGAATGTTCTCAAGATCACAACATGGAAGAGTTGTCAGATCTGTTCTTTTCAAGGGTATTAGTCCCTCATCATTCTTGTGATAAGAGCTCTACTTATATACAAGAATGACGCGAAAATGACGCGAAAAATACCGGTTTTCTTTTTTGGGGGATTTGTTTGTTTAGTGTCCTGGTTGTTTGTTTTTATTTACCACTAATAATATAATTTTTTGTTAAACTTGTTTGCTTTTAACCGCGAAGAAGGTACCGCAGCACGAAAGAGCCAGATCAAAGTCGGAAAAAGTACTGTCGATCACCAATTTCCTTATTCATCTTTAAATAGCAATTTCTGTTTCACAAGTTGACCAGGATGATCCTCGTGATAATAACCTTAGCATGGGTAAGGTCAAAATAATGGATGCGCAAATTTTGTCTAATCTAAAAATCAAAAAAATGTTGAAGAAATCGGAAATCGGTGATTACTTTTTTTTTAATATTCTTCAAATTTCACATAATTTTGTAAACCGCAATAATATTTATGCCTTAAGTAAAGTAGTTCGAGATAGGGATTGGAATCGGTTTAGTCGATTATGATGTTTAGTCGACTAATTAGTCGACTAAACATAGTAGTTTATTATACAGATTTTTTAGTAGAATAAACCGTTTCCAATCCCTATTTCGAGATAATAATTTGCATATGTCCTGAAATTTTATGTAAGTTGAATATCTTTTTTTATTATTCACTTCTACATTTCACGTTTATATGAAAAAATTTTTGATTTTTTGGTGTAAACGTAATATGCGAAAGTGAATTAATAAAAGTTATTCAATTTACACGAAAAGTTCAAATTATATGCAATTTATTATCCCTAACAATAACTATTAATTGACTTAGTAAAATTAAAATTTTAAGAATTCTCGCTAGTTTAGGGTCTGGGTTAAGATTAGATTAAGGTTAGTGCAGAGCGGTAATAGAAAGATTCTAACCCAAAATTTGAAGAATTTTTTTTGTTTGAGTTATAATCGATTTTTTTTTAATCGCTTCGATTTCACATTACACTGATCCTGCATTCTGATTGCAGACCAGGTGTAGCGATACATCGCTATGCCGATAAGGCCATGCAAGTTGATTTTCATTTTGCATTACCCGACCGACCCATTTTTCAATTTTTCAAAAAAAATTTTTTTTTGTGTTGATTGTGCTAATTATTCGATTTTTGCCATTTACCGTATTTACATGAAATAACACATTATTTGAGGCGATGCATGTTATTTCGAGTACATGCATGGGCGTTATTATAAGGTAAAGGATACACCCAAATCACTGATGGTAAATATTAAGGTGATTTATTAACATTATTATATGGGGTGTGCGTTATTTCGGGACGCACATGGGCATTATTTTGAAACCAACAATGCTATTTTAAGGAAATGTGATTTTTAAAATAATGCCCATGTGCATTCTTTTGCGTAAATACAGTATTTTTTTTTCCATCATTTTAACTGGTTTCATTCAATGGAGACTTTAGTATCCCCGATATAGGGGACGTCTAAAGCGGAGGCAAATCATGTGATCAGCCACCAATCAAATTATAGAATTTTGATCATCGCCGGCGAAGCAAAACAAAAAATTAAAACCAAAAACCCGAAAAATACAAAAAACGGCCGTCTAAACCTACCTCGGGTAGGTTAATCAAAAATGTCGAGTAGGCAATTTTGCTTATATTTAATTACCTAAAACCTATCCTGACCCTAATATAGAATGACCCTAACCCTAAAGTTAATCGATCACATTATTAAAAACTACGAGTGCCTCCGCTTTAGACGTCCCCCCGATATAGAAGCAGCAATAAAAAAAAAAAAATCTGACAGACCCAATTTTTCAGATCCCATGTAATGCTTAACTTTGTGTAGCCTAATATACAAAACACTAATTTTAATATATTGCTACGATTATTTATTTAAAAAAGTAATAAAGTTCAATAACCTTTATTGTGAGTAGGGATTGGAACCGCCTAAAATTTTTCTTAATCGTTTAGTCGTTTAACCGTTTAATTTGACCGGCATTAAAATAATTCCGGCCCACGACCAACATAATTCTACCCGGAACTATGGAGCAATTTTTAAACGGTTAAACGGTTCCAATCCCTAATTGTGAGCAATTCAATCAATAAAATTATTTCATATGCAAATAACCCAAATGACTTGATCATTATTTGATA